GCTAAGAGAAGAGAGGGGGGGGTGTATTGTCTCTCTCCGATCTTCGCCTTCAGTTTTTTTTTCTTTGGACGGTTCTTCTTGTACGAGTAACAGAGAACTCAGGGATTCATTCTCAATCAGAACATTCTGATTTTTTTCTGGCGAGTCGAAGTTCTGCGGCAGGTTTTAGGGAGATCCAGAAATCGGTTCTTTGTCTTTTGTGGCGATTCTACCGCCAATTGTGGGTTTTCAGACACAGTAGTCGGTATGGCTGAAAACAAAGGAAAAGAACAGGGTGAACAGAAACAAGGAGCAGGGGCAGGAGGAAAAAGTCGTGGTGGCCAAGTTAGGGCCAATACAGCCAAAGTCTCTGCGCAAGGCAATGCATCTCAAGGAGAATCAATCGATGCAGACAAGACTGGGTTAAATGGACTAAGTAGTGAGCAGTGGAACATGTTACTCAACCTTTTGAACACACAAAAAGAGGGGAGTCAACAACTAAGTAGAAAGTGAAAATTGTCAGAATGGATAATAGACACAGGGCTTCTCATCATATGACAGGAAGCCTCGAGTCTATGAGAGACATAAAGAACGTCATTCCATGCTCTGTCGGGCTGCCAGATGGGAAAGCGACAATAGCAGAGAAAGAAGGCACAGTGCGCTGGACGACCATCTGAAACTGACTAATGTTTTATATGTGCCTAGTTTGAATTGCAATTTAATTTCTGTGTCGCGATTGATTGAGGAGTTGAATTGTGTTGTTTAGTTCACTAATAAATTATGTGTGATACAGGACCGAACTACGAGAATGTTGATTGGAGCGGGTGAACAGCGAGAGGGACTCTATTATTTCCGGAGCATTGCATCAGCAAGAGCAATGAAGACTACAGAGATCAGGACGTGTGATATTTGGCATCAAAGGTGAGGGCATCCTTCTCATAAAATTGTTAAGTTGCTGCCTTTTGTTAGTACTAAAAATAATAAGGATGACAGTATTAAGGGTTGTGATATATGCTTCCGAGCTAAACAATGTCGAGAAGAGTTTGTTTCTAGCAATAATAGAGCATCCGCTATTTTTTAGTTAATTCATTGTGATTTATGGGGTCCTTATAGAACTACAGCTTCTTGTGGTGCTCATTATTTCTTGACAATAGTAGATGATTTTTCTAGAGGTGTTTGGATTTATCTTCTGATTGATAAGACGGAAGTGGGATGAGTTCTTCGAAATTTTTTTGCTATGGTTGAAAGGCAATTTAACAAATCTATCAAAGTGGTTCGTACTGATAATGGGACTGAGTTTGTCTGTTTGGCTAGTTATTTTGCTCAGCATGGTATTATTCATCAAACCACTTGTGTCGGGACCTCTCAACAAAACGGGAGGGTTGAACGCAAACACCGCCACATACTCAATGTTGCCTGAGCATTGCGCTTTCAAGCTAGCATGCCTATTCATTTTTGGGGGGAATGTGTATTGACCGCATGTTATTTGATCAATCGGACACCGTCCATTCTGTTGAAGGGAAAGACTCCCTATGAAGTTTTATTTGGGCGACGTCCTTCTTATGATAATGTGCGAGTTTTTGGTTGCTTGGCTTATGCGCACAATCATGGACATGGAGGGGATAAATTTGTCAGTCGAAGCAGACGGTGTGTTTTTGTTGGGTATCCTTTTGGAAAGAAAGGATGGAGCTTGTATGATTTAGAGTCCAGCACATTCTTTGCATCCAGAGATGTTACCTTTTTAGAGGATGAATTTTCTTATGCACGCAAAGAGGATGAACAGCCAAACAAAGCACAAGGCCAATTTCATTGTGGAATAGGTGGGACAGATGAGGTGTTGGTGCCGTCCACTTATTCACCTGGACAAGCAAATGGCGAGATGGAGATTGACTAGCGAGGCGAACTCGCTGAAGAAGGAGTCCGTGCAGAAGAAGGAACCCGCGTAGACCCGAATGCAAATGCTGGTGAATCCATGCATTCTTGTGATGCCACCACAGAAAATGTAAGCAAAGACAGTCCTGACGTCAAGGGGTGGCAATGTTGTGCAACAGCAGCACTCTGAATCCCATTTGGGGTGTGGGCATCAATTGAAACAACAGTCCACAAGGTTAAGAGACTATGTGCTTCACACCACACAGCACTTGAGTCCCTCTCTGCGTCCCTTTGCAAGCTCACTCGGCCAATCACATTCTGCAGGTAGTCCTTACCCCATAGATAACTATGTGAACTGTAACAATTTTTCTTGTCGACATCGTGCTTTCTTGGCAGCTATTACTGCAAGGGTTGAACCTACTTCTTTTGTTGAGGCCGTAAAGGATGAAAAATGGAGGGATGCTATGCAAAAAGAATACAAGCACTTGAAAATAATCAAACATGGACTGTAGAGCCTTTGCCATCCGGAAAACGAGCCATAGGATGCAAATAGGTGTATCAAATCAAGTATAACGCTGATGGGACAGTGGAAAGATATAAAGCTCGTCTCGTGATTTTTGGGAACAAGCAGGTTGAGGGAATTGATTATAATGAAACTTTTGCCCCTGTTGCAAAAATGGTTACTGTCTGTACCTTCCTTGCAGTCGCTGCAGCTAGAAATTGGGAGCTTCATCAAATGGGCGTACATAACGCATTCTTGCATGGTGACCTTCATGAGGAAATCTACATGCGAATGCCTTCGGATTTTCAGTCAGATAAACCAGGTATGGTGTGTCGATTGCGAAAATCTCTGTATGGTTTGAAACAAGCGCCGAGATGTTGGTTTGCTAAATTAACCGCAGCCTTGAAGACATATGGGTTTTAGCAATCATGTTCAGATTACTCCCTTTTCACCTTTCATCGGGACAGNATTAACCGCAGCCTTGAAGACATATGGGTTTTAGCAATCATGTTCAGATTACTCCCTTTTCACCTTTCATCGGGACAGGGTGCATGTGCTTGTTCTCGTGTATGTGGACAACATTATACTGTCAGGTAATGATCGTATGGCGATTCAAGTCTTCAAGAAATATTTGAGTGACTGCTTCCATATAAAAGACTTGGGACCATTGAAATATTTTTTGGGCATTGAAGTTGCCCGAAACTCAACAGGAATTTTTTTGTTTCAACGTAAGTATGCTTTGGATATTATCTCTGAAGTTGGATTACTTGGTGCAAAACCTACTCCTTTTCCTCTGGAGCAGAATCACAATCTCGCATTGATAGATGGGCCCCTCTTATCTAATCCTGAGCGATACAGACGCTTGGTGGGGAGGCTTATTTATCTCTTAGCAACGCGTCCAGAGTTGTCTTATTGTGTGCATGTTCTGTCCCAATTCATGCAGCAGCCGCAAGAAAGACATTAGGAGGCTGCATTGCGAGTGGTGCGCTACTTGAAAGGAAATCCTGGTCAAGGAATTCTCTTGCGTTCAGATTGTGACTTGTAGTTATATGCATGGTGTGATTCAAACTAGGTGAGTTGTCCTTTGTCCCGACGTTCCTTGTCTGGGTGGTTTATTCTGCTTGGGAAATCGCCGATTTCCTAGAAAACTAAGAAACAACACACTGTGGCTCGTTATTCAGCGGAACCAGAGTATCGATCTATGGCCACGACCACGTGTGAATTAAAATGGCTGAAGGGATTGTTATTGGCTCTTGGAGTGACGCATTCGAACCCAATGCGATTATATTGTGATAGTCAGGTAGCCTTGCATATTGCAGTAAACCCAATGTTTCATGAGCGTACGAAACATATTGAAGTTGATTGCCATTTTATTCGTGATGAGATTCAAAATGGTTGCATTCATCCTAYTTATGTGTCGACTACCATTCAGTTTGCTGACATTTTTACRAAGGCACTGGGTCGCAGAGATTTTGAGTATTTTCTCCGCAAGTTGGGCATTCACAATCTGCATGCTCCAACTTGAGGGGGGGTGTTAGGATTGTATTAGGATTGGAGTAGGAGTCTCCAGGATTAGGAGACTCCGCTGTGTTAGGATCGAATTAGGAGTAGGGGTCTCCGTTTTCTTTGTATATATCTTATAATCCTTATCTTGTATAGTTGAGATAGGAAAGATAGGTTTGAGTTTGAGTTACTGTAAACTTAGGAGATTTGATTGCTGTATATATATATATATATATCTGAATTCTCAATGAATGAAATACACAAAAAAAGCATAAACAAGAAAAGCTTTGCCGTCTTTCAGGAGGGGAGAAATAGGGAAAAGAGAAGGGCTTCAAACGGGTGAGTGATTTTTGTTGGGCTGATGGAGAAGTTACAGACAACATCTGTGAGAAGAAATGAGGTTGGGGGATGATAACAGTATTTTCCGTGGATTTCATAGGGGATGATTCCACCAACCTAATTACCGATATCAGGTACATTCTTCATCCCCGGTTGTAGATCCAAATTCTAAATTCCACCCTTCATTGTTCCATTGTTCACTAGCGGCACAACCACAGTCCCTCCCTCTCTCTCTCTCTCTCTCTCTCTCTCTCTCTCTCTCTTCTTTTTCTATTTCATTGTGAAAATTTGAAAGAAAATAAAGGGTAAAATAGTCTTTTTAATCATTCCTTTAACTATGTTAATGGCAAAGTTTTAGACAATTGTCTGAAAACTTAGGGAATACTTTAAGACAATAGATAAACATTAAGGGTACAGTCTGTCAAGTAATAATAAGATATTTCATTATTCTTTTAGATTTTGAAGTATTTTAATATAAATAAAATAGTTTTTAATTAAATAAAAAATATGAGGGCCAGGCTCAGGCTCAGGCTCGGGCCTGAGCATATTTTATTAACATAAAGGCAAAGCCCGGCCCAATACAGAGTTTTAAAGAAGGCAAAGTGGGCTCAAAAATTATATAAATGATATTTTTGGCATTTTAAAATGTTTATACAAATATGTCATAACGTGTAAGTCTTTCTACTTGAATGCTATCATACGAACCCTTATAAGTATCATCATCCCACTACCTGTAATTTTCTGGAAAAAAGAATCTCATAATTAATTATTTAATTTGAACATGAAGAGGACTAACGAGGATTACCTTGTATTTATGGTATCCATTAGCTGCTTCATCTCCCGTGCTTTTGTCCGGCATCTTTCCTGAGATGTTGGAATCAAATCAAACCATGATTAATTTAGGAAGCATTCTATAATATGAACGTTTTTGTTTTTATTTGTTTTCGATATCGCTACATCAGCAAAACCAAAATCTGTTTTAAGCTTATAAGTTGGTTAGATTTTAAAAAACAATATATGTTTTTGGAGCCAGCATCAAAATGATGTATTTTAAATTAAAAACAATTTTTTTAGTATAAAAATTATATGATTTATGGAACATGATTTTGAATAACCAGTTATAATCATGTTTTTGAAACTAAAAATTCAAGAACCCATCGTTTTTTGTTGCAGTTTTAAGAACAAAAAACACAAATACAACCAAAAACATGTTGGTTTTAATTTGTTTTTGATTTTGAATAACCTCTATAATCGTGTTTTTGAAACTAGAAATTCAAGAATCCACTGTTTTTTGTTTCAGTTTTGAAAACAAAAAACTCACACAACCAGAAATATGTTGGTTTTAATTTGTTTTTGATTTTGAATAACCAGCCATAATCATGCTTTTGAAACTAGAAATTCAAGATCCGACCACTTTTTGTTTCAGTTTTGAAAACAAAGAAAAAACACATACACAACCAGAAACATGTTGGTTTTAATTTGTTTTTGGTTTTGAATAACCAGCTATAATCATGTTTTTGAAACTAAAAATTCAAGAATCCATCGTTTTTTGTTGCAGTTTTAAGAACAAAAAACACATACACAACCAAAAGCATGTTGGTTTTAATTTGTTTATGATTTTAAAAAACCAGCTATAACCATGTTTTTGAAACTAGAAATTCAAGAACCCACCGTTTTTTATTTCAGTTTTGAAAACAAAAAATGCATACACAACCAAAAACATGTTGGTTTTAATTTGTTTTCGGCAACAGGAAAAACAATTTACGTTATAGAATACCCCGTTAATCATAAAAATTACATGSTGTAAATCTTCAGATAATAAATAGAAGAAAAAGACGGATTCACCTTGGTGAGTGAAGATGTCCCAAATAGAAGGAGCTCTTCCGTCTTCTGCTACTGCACCTTCAGCCTGCATACTCACTCATCAATCATCAAAACCACAGCTATTTCTTCAATTTTCCTATTCTTTTGTTACTTCGACGCTTTTTATGTATATTCTCTTCAGTCAGATAGAGAAATTATGTGATGAAATGGYTAGTTGCAGACAGACCTGATAAGCTGAAGTTCCAGCACCGAAAACAAAGTCGGAGGGGAAGTCGTCTCGGCTAAATTTGGGGCTCTTTTGGCCCAAACCTCCTACTTCTACAGTTAGAAGCAGAAGCAGCAAGGACAGGCTCCACATCTCTTACTCTGACTACTTTTCTACTTTTCTATGCTGAGACTGAAAGAGAGATGTCAATAAAGAAGTTGAGGACAGAAGCAATTATAAAGAATAAACTTTGGAAGAAGGTAGGAGAGGCTTAGATTCATCTTCCGTTGTAAAACTTGATACATCAATGACGAGTAACTTAAAACATGTGGCGAGGGTTATGCGCTGTACGTATACGATAATGCACATGTGGTGGTGAAATATTGGTATAAAATCCAAATTACATAATGGCTTAATAAATAATGACGTGAGATGCAGGGATTCAGGGTGGACTCCGGATCTGTTTTGAGATCCGGACTCTTTCGGGTGGGGATGGAGCAAGGCGTACATGGGTGAACTCAAGTTGGCCCGACTTTACAACAAGGTTCAAAGCATGAAACGTATTGGGTCATATCGACCAATATCAGTGACCCCATTATAGTTATACTCCTACAGTGAATGTTTTGAGGTCTAACCTGATTCAGGGGTAAATGGGTCTTAAACTAATTCCTCTGAACTAATTTGAAAAAAAAAATAAAAAATAAAAAATAAAGGTGCAGCTCAATACAAGCCGATATAGCCTGATTAATAGTTCTGACCTTGCTTTATACTGCATCGGGCTGTATCTATTCAAATTTTGACAAAATCTCAACCCAAGTTCACCTAGGCTTAGTTTGGAAGGAGTATAAATATAAATTTGTACAGTATAAATACATTCAAAATGTAAGGTTTTGCACTTTATATATTTGTATTTRTACTCCTTCCATACGGAGCCTAAGTTGCATCCTTATGCCACTGAGAGATTGCACATTGATGGATCGTTTGATCCGGTTATAGGGAATGCTGGATGAGGGTTCATCATCAAACATCCCAATGTCAAATTATTCATTGCAGAAGGCAGTCCATGTTGGGCCCTTAACAG